CAGGACTGTGGTCCCCAGAGGTGTGGTCTGCTGCGGGTCCGACCACGAGTGCCTGGCACCTCGAGTGGCTCCAGGGCACGCTCACGTGTTGGCAGAGGCCGGGCCCGTTCCTGCTCACATGCTGCCCTCTACAGGATGTTCTGTTTCCACAGACAGGAGGCCGTGCCCACGTGACCTGTGGAGGCGACACACTTACCTCGTGTTCTGTGTTCTTGCAGCCTCAACTTGTCCTGGGCGGCGCTGCCCAGACGGCGTCCCTTGGGACGGCGACGGCTGTTCAGACGGGGACACCTCAGCGAACGGTCCCGGCGGGGACCACAGCCTCCACGGCTGCCACGGTAAGGCCGGCGCTCCGGGCCGCAGAGGCGCGGTGTGTCAGAGATGGTGGGCACCCAGCCCACACTGCGGGCCGGCCAGCTCAGGTCTCGTGAGCAGTGTGGGGCATGCGTCTCTCCAGCCCCTCAGCGCTGGCCAGCACAGGGGCTGCGGCTTCGGACGTGCCCCTGCTTCAGGGCAGTGGCCCTTCGGGGCCCCGAGGGGCGGAAGTGTGCCGGAGCCCAGAGCCCAGAGCCCAGACGGTGGCCTGGACTTTGCGTGTGACTGTCCAGCGCTTGCCGACACTGGCCTCCCAGTGTGGTGGCTTCCTGTGCACACGGAGGTCCACGCAGGACGGGCCGCTCCACTCACAGCGAGCTCCTCGCATGTGTTGCCGAGGGCCTTGTGGCGGGTCACAGTCCAGCCTGCCTCGCGCACGGTCTGGCCACGTCGCCTCTGTGAGCTGGGGTGGCCGCGAAGGACGTCTTCGTCCCGCCGTCTCTCACCCTGGAGAGAGCCACAGCCCAGGGGTGCCGAGTGGGCTGTGCCAGGCCGGTGTGCCAGGCTGCTCTCAGAGCCGGGCCCGGGAGGCACCCCCACGCCCAGGCCGGGAGCCGTGTGGTGCCTTCCGCTGGAAGGCATGTGGAGAAGACACGCACACGTGTGCACATGTGTGCACGTGTGTTTTGGTCATGCTGACGGCTGTGATGGAAGTCTGCCTTTGAACACGTCTTTACTTCTGTGTTTCTGCTTTCGTCCAGGAAACTATGGAAAACGTGAAGAAGTGCAAAAACTTTCTATCTACGTTAATAAAGCTGGCATCGTCCGGTAAACAGTCAACAGAGACAGCGGCCAACGTCAAAGAGCTGGTGCAGAGTTTACTGGTGAGGCGCCCTGACGCGGCCCCGCTCGCCAAGCCGTGCCCTGCCCGCTGTCGGGCACACCTGTGCAGTTGCTGGTGTGCGCAGCTGCCGTCGCGGGCGTGGCCACCAGGACGTCCTCCGTCCTGAAGTTTGCGGTGACGTCCCAGCCAGGGCTGGTGCCCAGACGGGTTGCTGGCATTGCCTCTGCCTCTCGTGGCCAGGAAGGAGGCGCCCGTGTCTGAAGGGCAGTCTTTGTGCCAGTGTGGCCGTGCCTCTCCCCTGGCAGTCAGTCCCAGCCCTCGGAGCAGTAGAACCCGCTCGGACCGGGTCCCTGCCCAGCTCGCTGGCCTCCCCACTGCCATGCTGCCACCCTGTCGTGTCCAGAGCAGCCCACTGTCCTTGCTCTGGAGTGGCTGCGGGGTGGCTGCCATCCCCTCCTGAGGCTCCCGACGCCCTGATGTGGCCAGGCACCATCTGTGTGACCCCATGGTGCCCTGGCTCCTGGCACTGGTTTGATCTGAGCTCCTCCTGACGCTGCGTGCATGCAGACTAGAGACAGGGTGGAGACACGCTGAGCGGGACACACGGGAGGCAGGCTGGCAGCAGCTGCTGCCGTGCCCAGGGTGGGCGTTCTCCACGGCCGACGTGGCACGCGACGTTCCCACCTCTGGCCAGCTGTGAAGCGTGAGACCAGAGCGAGGGTGGGCCCAGAGATGGGGCAGCGGTCCTCCCTGCAGGCTTGCCATGTGGACTCTGCGTTTCAGGACGGGAAAATCGAAGCGGAAGACTTCACTAGCAGGCTCTACCGAGAGCTCAACTCCTCACCTCAGCCTTACCTCGTGCCTTTCCTGAAGGTGAGCACGGCTCGCACCGGGGCGGGGTGGGGCGGGGCCAGAGCTAGGGCGGGCGGGCTGTGGGCGCCTGGCATGATCGGCCGCACCGCGCTGGGCCGGGGGCCGCAGAGCCCTCAGGGCCCGGTGAGCAGTGTCTGAGGTGTGAGCCTGTCCGACTTCGTGGCCACTTGGGCCCTCAGGCACGAGGAAATAGAAAGGGCCGTGGTCCTGGATCCGTGGGTGGGGTGCATACCCCCCGACAGGACTCGGATGCCAGCAGCCGCAGGTCGGCTCCCATAGGTAATCTTACTGGTATCATCACGTTTTTAAGAATGTGTTCAAAAATACTGCATTTTTTGGGGGGCAAGCAGGTGGACCCTCACATGGCTGACCATGGTTCAAGTCCTGGGCCTGGCATCCTGAAAATCAGGACAGGCGCGTGTGCGTGTGTGCCCAAAATCTTGAGGGGAGAATGGAGGAGGAGGGATTGTGGCATGGCCGTCCCCCTGGGGGTGACTTCTCACTTTCCCTCTCGCTGTCTCTTGAGTGTACACACCTATGGAAAAACCTGGGAGAAAAAAAAACACCTTGCAGTGTTACCAGGAACCTTTTCTAAACGTTTATTTCTGGCCTTTTTTAATGAGAGAGATGGAGACTTTTATTTTTAGCACATTTGGTTTTGAGCGCGAAAGTGCGCGTGTGGAGGCGAGTGTCCAGGCCGGCTGCCCGCAGGGGGCAGCACAGAGCCGGGAGCGTTCTGTCTCTCTCGAGGAGAGAGAATGCCGCCTGGAAGGAAAGCCAGCAGGGCCAGCCCACGGACAGAGCAACCCAGAGCGGTTTCTCATGGATGGGGTCTCGTGTCATCGGCTGGGTTGCCGCCCGTTTGCTGGGGCCAGTGACTGTCCCACATGGCACCCGCGTCGGTGGCGCCCTGTCGCCTGCACCCCTGCCGCTGGGCCTGGTGTGCCTGACGTTAAGGAAACGCTGGCTCCCATGGCCCTGACCCGTTCTGTCTTCCACCCAGAGGAGCTTGCCCGCCTTGCGACAGCTGACCCCCGACTCCGCAGCCTTCATCCAGCAGAGCCAGCAGCAGCCGCCGCCCTCCTCGCAGGCCACCACCGCCCTCACCGCCGTGGTGCTGAGCAGCCCGGTCCAGCGCACGGCCGGGAAGACGGCCCCCCCGGGGGGGCGCCGGCAGGCAGGGCCAGCCCACGCCGCTGGTACGGAGGCGCCGCCCGCCCGCTCCTCCGGCGCACCTGCCCGCGCAGCGCTCCCACCAGCCGCTAACCGCCCCGCCCCCGGGCGCCTCGTAGGCACGCAGTGTGCTTGTGCCAGGCGGCACTGCTCTGACCTTAGTGACTGCGCCAGCCAGAGGCCGGCCGCGCCCTGCTGTGCTTCACCGTGCCGTGAGATAGGCAGGTCGGCTGGACCCCGGCCCGGCCGATGGTGCGTTTGGGGCACTCCTGGCTCGGGTGAGCACGGCACGGGGCTAGTGACCTAGGCCGGGTTCCGGTGGGCAGTGACGGCCCCGTGTGACGAGCAGGTGGCACGTGCTGGGCTCGGGCGGGCCTCTGCTCACGGCAGACCAGCGCTCGGCAGGGCGGGTCCAGGGGAACTGTGGGGCATGAGTGCGGACCCTAGGCTGGTCCGGGCCGGCAGTGCCCTCAGCAGTCTTGGTGTCACACCCCGCTGCAGGACACACGTTTCCGGCAGAGCGGGCTCCCTGCCCTAGAAAGCCAGTTCAGGCTTTAAGTGTCGATAGGTGCTTCCTCTGAAGATGGCGTAGAAGGAAGGGAAGGAGTTCGGCTCTGGGCGGGGGCTGGGGCGTGTCCCTGTCACGTTGGGGCTCAGGCACTAGCCGGGAGGTCAGAACCCACCCAGTGTCGGCATGCAGTGGTCACAGTGGCACTAGTTTAGCTGCAGGGGTGGGCAGGATAGGCCGCAGTGGGGCCCAGGGAGGGTGCCCCGCAAGGCCGGGGAGCGGCCACTGGGAGGGCTGGAGGCCGAGTGTGACAGGGCTTTGACCATCCCCTTGGCCCGGAGGGGCGAGACGCGCACTTTTGCTTTAACAGCGCGTAGGGACAGAACTGTCCAGTGGGGGCAGCTCACAGATCCTGACGTGGGTTCTGCTAAAGGGGACCTCGATGTGGATGTCCTGCAAAGTGGCGGCTCCTTGTGTGTCTACGTAGCGTCTTCAGTGTTCTTGGCATCAGAGTCAGCTGCCTCTGCTCCCTGGGCTGTGCTGGGCTGTGTGTGCATGTGTGAACATGTCTGTGCTGAATGTGTCTGTGTACACGTGCATGACCACGTCTGTAGGTGCATGCCTGTGTATCTTTGTGTATACATGTATGACCACGTCTGTGTGTCTGTGTGTACATGTGTATGATCATGTCTGTATGTATGCGTCTCTCTGTGTATACATGCATGACCATGTCTGTATGTGTGCACACACGTATGGCCATACTTGTATCTGTGTGTATACACGTGCATGACCATGTCTGTATGTGTATCTGTGTGCACACATGTATGACCACGTCTGTGTGTCTCTGTGTACACATGTATGGCCATGTCTATATACGTGTCTGTGTATCTGTGTGCATACACATGTATGACCACATCTGTATGTGCACGTGTATGACCATGCCTGTCCATGTGTCTGTGTATCTGTGTGTACACACATGTATGACTATGTCTGTGTGTCTCTGTGTGTACACGTGTATGACCATGTCTTGTGTCTGTGTGTCCCAGGTGAGCTGTGCCTTCTCTCGCTGCTGAAGCCCGTAAGGGTCAGAATGGGGGTCTCCCTGAGTTCATGCACAGGGCGTCCCCACCCCCGTAAGCACAGCCGAGGCTCATCCTGACCACTCTGAGTGCTCATGTTTGTTGCAGAAATGGCTCCATCCAGGCCACTCCCAGCCAGCACCAGTGTCCCCTAGTGTAGGCAGGGCACTTTCATGAAAGGTGGGGACCCAACACGGAGACACCTGGGCTCGGAGCCTGCGGCTTCCACAAGGGTCCACGTCTCTGTGGCGGGCTCCCAGGGCTGGGGTCTGAGTGTGGGAAGTGGCCTGCCCTGCCAGCTGCGGAGCTCTGCTGTGGGCCTGGGCCAGTCTCAGCTCTGGGGCGCTGGGCCTGGGGGGCACCGGGCCTGGGGGGCGCCGGCTTGGGCTCCAGGGAGGGTGTGGAGGGCCACGTTCA